GGTGGGGGGAGGAGAAGATCTCCCTAATCTCTCTCCCCATTCTCTTTCCTTTTGTTTTTTTTACATTTTTCCGTTTTTTTTTTTGGGAGCAGTTAACGCTTGGGCCTTTTCTACAACTTAAATGTACCTGGTCGCACTTTCAGTTGTTTGGCGGGCTGTCTTCATCCCTGCGTTGGTGAATTCTTATTGAGTGGTAGTAGACGCTACAGCTGCCCATGTATGATCTTAAGCCAATTGGTCTCAAGCTTTGGAAAGAAGTTCATTTTAGGTTGCATCTCATCTTCACCCTTTTTTTTGTGGGGGGCGGTGGGGGGGGGTGGGGGTGGGGGCCAAGTACATTGATGTCACTTTTGAGTTCCCAATGCGCCAAACGACAGGCAAGTCAGTTTATGTCACAACAGAGTTTCGAATGGGCAAACAAGGCACGCACGGGCAGAAACAACAGCCGCAGAAAGGAAAGTACTGCAGCACCACGCCGGGTGTCATAACTGCAGGGGTCGGCCGTGGTGTAGGACAGGAACGGGAATAAAAAAAAAAAAAAAAAAAACAAGTACATTTATGTCACTATTTGAGTTGAACAAAAAGGCAGAAAAAACACGAAACGGGAAGTTCAACCAAGACACGGCCAGAGTTTGTAAACTTTAAGGCAAAAATATTGAAGTAACTGGAAATGGCAGTAACATCAGGGCCATAATTCAAACAGAGCACTTTCGTCACCTCCGTTGTGAGGGCTTCTTTTTTTTTTCACGTCAGGTGGTTGTTGTTTTTTTTTTTTTTGGGGGGGGGGGGGGGGGGGGGGGGGGGGGGTGTTCGCATCAGGGTTTTTTTCGGGTGAGTTTCTTTTTGTTCTTCTGTTTTTTTTCTTTCTTTCTTTCTTTCGCGGCAGTGGCTGGGTGACTGCCGAGATGTCTACACCTGTGGCTGGGCCACGGCGGTGATGTCTAGGCCACGCCTGTGGCTGGGCCATGGCCGCGATGTCTAGGCCACACCTGCAGCTGGGCCACGGCAGCGGGAAAAGAAAAAGAGAAAAAAAAGAAAAGAAAAGAAAAAGAGATGCAGGACGGGCCGGTACCCAGAAACGGGTACCGGTACCAAACATGCCACAACTGCCTTTACGAACCGCCACGCTGACACCACAGTCACCACTGCAGGCCTGAGTTACAACCTCCTTTTCAAGGCACGGCAGCTACCGGTACCTCCAGGCGCGGCAGGCTCGGCATACCAGTCACCTGAGGGTCGGCTTGCATAGCTGGGCGAGGTACAGGTAGTTTAAACACTCCGCCATGCATGCATACAAGTAGACACCAACCAACCCCAGAAAAAAGCAATACACAAGAAAAGCATTGGAGTCCAAACTTAGGAAAACGAAGGCCGATGATCAGTAGAGATATGCATACAAACGCCGAAACACCCTGGCGCTTTTTGTCCACCCCGCCAGTAGACTCTTCAGAGGGATTACACCCTCAGGCTGACCCGACTCGACACAGGGAGGCCATATCAGGGCCTTGCATCCCTTATATAGTCATCCAACACCCTTCCTGTCGAAGCACCCACCCGCTCCGACCATCGATCCACCCTCAGCGTTAGTCCGCCTACGTCTCGTTCCTTCCACCAATACCTCAGCTACCAAAGACGCCATCACAGATTCACAGCAGAAGGCGCTTAGAAGCCCCCAGAACCTTCCAAGGAGACTTGCAGCCCCCCATACTTCCAAGCGTTCTCCTACGACAAAAGACCAACACTGCGGAGCAGTAGAACAAGCTCATAAGAGCACACGCCAGTTGTACATATAGCCAGCGCGCACATAGCTACTCAGGTAAGTTACACTCTCTC